AAAAAAAAAAAAAAAAAAAAAGGAAAAAAAAAAAGCGCTCACTCTTCCAGACTCCGCGCTCCGCGCAGCGCCGAGCGCGCCAAGGGTTCCTTTCTCTCATCTGCTCCGGGACAAAGCCGCAGGGAGGTTTCCATCTCTCCACCAGCCCCACTTGCTGCTCTCATCTCCTAAAACTCTAACAAATACACAAAATGTAAGAAGCATTATTAATTTGAATCTTCCTGGCTAAAAGGTCTGCTGCAGTACTGAGGCTGCAAACCCCTCTTTCCTCTCCCCTCCCCCTGAAAGAAATCATTCATATTTGGGAGCTTTAAAGTTATTCATTTAACATTTCAATCCAGAACCGTAGAATGGTTTATGTTGGAAAGGACCTTAAGATCGTCTAGTTCCAACCTCCCTGGGTTGGAAAAGCAGAAACTCTTTACTTAGTTCAGTACGGGAATCCCTGTGTGCAACAGAAGTTAGAAATTCTAACCAGTGCCGAAATCTAGTCAGATTACTGTGTTCTATAATCTACACCCTGCTTCAGGACTAAGAAACAGCCCCAGCGAGGAAGTCCCGAAATCAGGCTGAAATCTGGGCTAACACTCGCCTTAGTGAATAGGCCGATAGGGACATACACCAAAAAGACACGGAAATTTAACTGTTAGGTCAGTTATCTCTAGACTGACCTTTAGTATCTTCCGTGGGAACAATTTCTAAAGTACAGAGGGTGTTTAAAAATTGCTTTGATGTTTCTCATAGTGATTCTAAATTTTATTTTAATTTCTGGTTGGGTAACCAAAGAGAAATTTCCTCTTGATCAAAATCGTCGCTGTAGCACTTCAGTTTTGTGTTATTTTACTGTCAAAGCACTTAAATTGAGATAGACCATTGTAAAATACAAATGGAGAATAAAGTCCATGTAATGTACTCTTGGCACTCCAAAGGTCCTAGCTTTCTAGCTGATTTAAAATTAAATATCCTGTTCTACTTTAAACACAAGGAGACATTCTTCTAAGAATTGTGACCTTTGTAAGAAGATCTTTTTCCCTCAATTGTTAAGATCCAAGTTTTCCTCACCGCAAAACCAAGTGTCTTTCTCTATGAAGCGCTGAAGCTGGTGCTGGCCAGCTGATACCCTTGGGGGTGGGGGTAGATGAGGGAGAAGACTATTTAAAAATAACCCTGCCTAGAAAAAAAAAGAAAAAGGCCGTTCCACAGTATAGATCACTCGCTCAGGAAATGCCTGAGTAAATAAATGGGCTGTGCGGCATGCCTTTTTGAAGCCACAAAATCAAGTTCCTCACACTCAGAGGAAAATTAATTTAAGTCAAGTGCCTACTACTGATAATCCCCTGCCAACAGCCACCCTGCCATATCATGCCTTGAGTGCTGTTGTTTCCGTTGGTGTTAAGGTCAAACCTGGTTGAAGAGGAAACAGGGAACAGACAGAATCGAGAGATTGTTTAAACAAGACACTCCTCTCTCTGTAAGAGTACTTGATGTCTAAGGAATGACGTAAGAGACCTGGTATGTCTAATTGTTCATGGAGATTCTAGCAGTGCAGATGTCATAATCTTGGGACGATGGTGACCGGTGGGACATTCCCATGATAGCGTGTATTCAGGAAGGATGCAGTGAGCTTTGCTGATAGCTAGTGATGCTGCATGTTGAAGACACGCTGGAGCTGAACTGAAGGTAACTTCATCAATGAACAATCCAGACTTCACACTGGTGGAAGTCTCCCAAACTTAAGTAGGAAGAATATATAATATTGACTCTGTCTAGGTGACCAGTGGACTATGATGGCAGTGCAACTGACTGAGTAGAGGGAAGAAGTAAGTAGGTGTGGGTGACTTCAGTTATGCAGTCTAGCAGAGGAAAAAATGCATCCAGACTTGACAGACTATGTTTCTAGATGTCTCAATGGCTGTTTTGTGGAGCAGCTGGTTCAGGAGCCCGTGAGGACGTTGCTTGACTTTAATCCTGAGCGGTTTACCTGATGTAGAGAGTAACAGCTGAAGACTTCTCTTGAAATGGGGATCCTAGTGTGCTTAGACTCCTTGCGGGAGTAAGGCAAGCCTTGCAGCATCCTTGCAGGAGTAACAAAAGCCAGAGTCCTCCAACATTGCTGTGCTCGCTTCAAAGACGACAACGAGACACGCACCAGGAAATTGTTGAAAGACAAACAGACGGAAGACCTCACTCTTTACAGGGAGTATAGATATTGCTTCTGTAAATCACATCAGAAGTGCAGACAAAGTAACTGTGTATCAAGTAAAACTTGAGAAAGAGTGAAAAGAAGCCAGTATTGGCAGGGTAAGTGAGACTGCAGGAGCAAGAAGGCATCCTCCAAAAAGCTGAAGCGGTGTCCAGATGAGGAAAACCGAAAGATTACAACCTCTGGCAAGTTAAATCTACAAACGTGATAAGGTTTGCTGAAGGAGTGTGAGGGACAATTGACAAAAAGCATAATAACTGAAATTGTTACCTGTTCAAACGCAGCGTGAACAGGACGTCTGCCAGGGAATTGCTGGGTCAGTGGCTGGTTGGGTGGCACAGGAGCCCTCGGGGTGTGACGAGGCTCTGCGGGAGGAGCTGGTGAACGCTTTGGAGTCCCAGCATGAGCACAGATGTACGCTGTAGCATGGGGTACTGCTAACACCTGCCCAGAAGCTTATGGAATTACCATTTTTATTCCTGATGATGTTATATGTACTAGTGTTCCGCTAATCCCGTTCTGTCCACAGTTTCTACTGATTTCCAATTTACAGTTGCCAGGCTAATTGATCACAGCCTAGGGAGTACTTGAGGGAGAAACGATGTTTACTTTGTCTTGTACTCTTTCCCTGAGCATCGAGTTAGGTTGGAGTGTTGGAGGCAGACCGTGAAATAGCTGGACCTTTGCTCTGACCCCAAATGGCTATGCTGATAGAGAAGAGACTTTCTAGCCTCTGAAGAATTTGACCTCGAGTGAGAGCAGGACAGTTTACGCGTACAGTAGGTTGGTAGCGTTGGTTGGATCCAAGCTCAAAGCAAGACTCGGGTCTGTATGGAGTACTCCACTAATGATATACCCTCTTCTTTTTTTCTGTCTGGAAACTTTGTACATGTGGATGCTGAGAACTGTCTGTGTCTGGGAACCTTCGAGAATTAGATGCTTCCAAATGGGCTGTGTACTCTGGCAAACCCTGGACGTGATAGTGTGAACGTGTCATGGCATGTGGGATTTTCATCCAAGACATTTTGGCAAGACCCATTCCGTGTCTCTTCCATATAATAGCCAATTGTAGCATGTCTGATGCATTTGGGAAAAGTTAAACCTCACTGTGCCCCCAGCACCGGTGACCTGCAGGAATAAGAAATCTGGCACTTCAAAAAGTTGTGCCACAGAATCTTTGCACGTGTGTTTGTCTAATTTCTGACTTTAGGCTGAGTCACTATGCTGATTTCACTACACAGACCCCATTAAGTGTCAGAAATTTGAAACTGCACCAGTTCCCAAGAAGAAACTAGTGCTGGAGATGGATCACAAGCTGGATGCGAGTCAGCAGTACCATGCCGCTGTGAAACGGATGGTCACACAGGCATCTGGCTGCAGACCTGGAACCTGCAAAGTCTCTGTCCTCTGTTTGGGAAGGCCTTAGCTGAGGTGCTGCCCTGCTTTTGGTCAAGGAGGGAGAATCCAGTGAAGTGCTGAAGTGTTTCTATAGTAGGCAATACATAAATCGCATAAACAAGTAGTTCATTTTTAAATATTAAAAGTGACATCCTTATTAGGCTGCAGTACTTGTAGCATCAAAAGTGTGTTCAAGCACCTGGAAGACTCCAGTTTGGGCAGGAGTGTAGGAGTTGAAAATCTTGTGATTTTTTTTTTTTTTTTTTTTTTGAGAGGGAGCTCTGGATAAAGGAGATTGTCTCAGAATTTACTTCTATTGCTTACATACTAACTGGAATGTTTTGGCAGTGAAATCTAGGGGTAGTAGCTATTTCCTATCTTCAGTTCAAGAGATGCTGAACATTTGATTTACAGTGTTCATAAAGAAATAGTTACAAGGTATTAAGCAAGTAGCTGAAAGAGGCCGGAGACGAGAATGTGTCATAAATTCAACGCAAGTCAGAAGTGTTGTTCTGCTATGAAGGAGACACGCCGGGATGTACAAACAGACCTGTAACATGCCAGATTTGAGTTATTACTTCTGCCTTCCTTGAAGCGGTGAAAGACCTCACCACCCTAACTCAGGTGCTGCATTTTCAGGAGAAAACTGATGGGATGGAGCGTCCAGAGAAGAACAAAACTGCTGAGGAAAGAAAAAGGGGGTGCTGTGATTTAGTCTAGAGAAAACTGAGGAGAGATGGAAGTGGCCAAGGGTTTAAGGAGCTGTTAGAGCGAGGCCAGGAATAGCCCGTTTCCTGGTCCCAAAGCATAGGGAAGGAAGTAAATGGTTTAAACAGCAAGAAAGATTGCAATTACCTGTCTGGAGACGTATCTTGGTAGGAAGAACGGTGAAGGACTGAAATAGATTGCACAGACATGTCGAATCTCCGTTGTCGCCAGCTTTTAAGCACAGATGAGGGAAACATCTGTCAGGAGTGACGGCAGTTTAGCTGATCACGCTGTGGGGCAGGGGGCTGACTAGAAGATCTCTGGAGGTTTCTCCAAGTCTTACCTCTTAGGGCTCTAAGGTTTATTTCTTTATTAGCTGATCATTGTCTTGAGTCTCTGAGGAAGTCTCTTGCTTAAATTAAATCTGCTTAATTTCACTTCCAATAGGGTTCTTAAAGAGGAGGAAATTGTTCTGTTTTCTGAATGCTTGACTGCAAACTGTGAATAATTATGACAGCCTTATAGAGAGATCACAACATGTGGCAATTAAC